GTTGCGATCCGTTGCCGGACACGGAAAAAAGGACAAAAGACAAAAAAAAAAAAAAAAAAAAATTTAACCAGACACATCAGTGTCTCCTTTGTATATAAGAGTATGTATCTCTTTTAGAAAAGAATCACAAATCACACCACCTGACACACCATAATGGGTAAATCCCTCCCTATGCACTGACTGGAATTTATTATTTAGAACACATGTTCAAGAACAGGGATATGCCCATGTTTGTTAACTGTGCATGCCAAATTGCAATTTGTCGTGCCCATTTGGGAAACTAATTTCCCACTCAAGTTGTGGTGTGAAGTTCATGGCAAGGATAAAAAAAGCTCCTGAGTGTTTTCCCATACTTTGTAGCTGAAGGGAGACCTGGGGTCAGGACAGAGTGGTAAACGAGAAGCTTGGAGAAGATGCTCCCTGTTCCTCTAATCATTTTGGAGGTGGTTTTAGTCCCAGCTTTAGCTTGACCCCACCGTCTCCACTGGGAGAAGATTTCCGGGGAAGGAGAGGAACAGGAAATGAGAGGAGTGGCACCAAAGCCATGTCTCATTATAGGTCTACCTCAAGGCTTAGTCAGGATTTGACACTGTTATTTGATGTCACAATTTTCCTGCCTCTATGAATGCTCAGTACGTGGGGACATGAGTGATAATTCTCAAAGATTTTTTAAAATGAAAACAAGTTATTTAAAATTGAAGTGGTACTTTTTGCAGTTCTTTGGTTGATTACAGACATTTATTTTCTACCTACAATGTACAAATTTTGGTGCTAAGTGAATTATTTTAATGACAAGTCACACTCCCTGCCCTCATGAAGCTGACATCCTGGGAAGACTGACATTAAAAAACCAATTACATATGTAATTACTTAAATAATTGTGGTAATTTCTATGAAATACACAATAATAAAACAAATCAGATGGTCAGGAAAGGCTCTTTGGCAGAAGTGACTTTTGATCTGAGATAAGTAGGTAAATATGGATTAACCAGGCAAAGGGGAAGGTGAAAAGAAAAGAATTTGATTAATCAAAATATTTCAAATATTAAAACAATGCATTTACATTTATATGTGTTGCAGTTCATACTAATGAGAAAAGTAATGTCCTTGGTTTCTTGTACACTGATTGTTTAAATAAGCATATACTTATCCATACTAAGGATTTTTTTAAAAGTGATATCCAATGTGATAGTCACCTTTTGTGTCCCCAGATGGACAAATCTTTAGTTCAGGCTGTGAAACAGCTTCAATGTAGTCAGAAGAAATAGGCTGTAACCCGCAGGTTTCCTCCGGGTGAATCAGCAAACCACAATCCTGCATTAATACAATAGAAATTAGTTGCCATAGTAATTGACATGACTCATAGTAATAAAATCTAAAAAATAAGACTTCTGTGCCAAATAACCCTTATGGATAAAAAGGAGCAAATTTTGTTTTACCTTTACTGGGTTATTGATTTACCAATAGTTGTTTGTGATAAAAGTAGAAACTTGTATTTGGGAGTTAATATAAATTCTAATGACATTTTAATTTTTATTTTGACATTAATATTCATGTAATTGCTCTGCCAATTAAAAAAACTGGATGTAAATTTTGCTTTAAAAAGTGTAGCTATGTACCAACTCATTAAAAATAATACATCCTATAATAGAAGACAATATATCAAGTGAAAAAGACAATGTGAGAAGGGAAATGGGAAATATTTGGGGAGAATTTAGTTTAACAGATAAATTTTAGTTCAACAAACATTTATTAAGAACTCATGATATTGCCAGAAATGGAATTGGATGCATATGTTTTATTCAAGACATGTTCATACAGTTATAAAAGTAATAATGCCTCACTGCACTGAATATCATTATAGAGGCATGTTCTGTACTAAGCAATGACTTTTCATAGTCTGACAGGTGCAGTAATGAACATCAGCTTATTGGCTCTCTAAAAGTTCTCTCCTCTGCCCCATCCACCAAACTGAGCCTGAACGTTGGACCACACTCATCCTCTCTTGACTTTTCTGCAAAGCTATTGGCACCTGTACCTGTCCTGGGTCCCTCCACCCTACTTCACCTATTTCCATCGCCACCCTTCTCACTGGGTTCTCTCAGTCCTTCACAATTTAGCTCGTGTAAAAATGCTATCAACTCTGTCAGGATTGCTTTCCCCCTAATTTAGCACGGCGAGCATCTGTTTGTGTTATAGATCTCAGCAAGCACTTCCTGAAACCCTAGCCAAATTATGTCTCCCTACTTTTATCCATGTCAGCACCCAGTTTATTTCCTTCACATTCTTCACCATTTGGTAATTGTTTGTTTGTGATTTATCTGTGTCTTTTCTACTAGACTGAATGCTCCATGGGAGTAAATAATTAATTATCTGACTTACACATATACCCAGTACCTACCATACAGTAGACAATAAATATTTGTTGAATGCATAAAAACTTAGACTTAATTGTCTTCTTCAGATCAGAAATTCTCAACAATGGGCAGAAATGATTGGTTTGACTTCTTTGCTCTATATCTCTGCCTCTAATCAGCAATTTCCAGTCACCTTTCCTCATACCATCAAATGCCCTAACCACCAACTCAGATTCCCAGATCTCATACAACGGTGTCCGGGAAATTAAGGAACAAAATGAGTGGGAGTGTGCGTTGACTTCTTGAAATCCTGATTCTGTACATATATCTTCACTTTTAAATTCATGACTAAAACTGAAGTTTAGGATACTGATTAAAGATTAGAAACATGATTTGTATCAAAATATTCATTATAATAAAGCAATTAAAACAACACAAAGTTTATAATAATGTTGTGAGAAAATTTAGTCTGAATAAATATCTATGAATGATATTTGTTAGTGTATGTGCATTTATCTATCCATTTATTTTTGGTGGAGACTGAACCTTCTTTCTACAGCTAGAAAAAGTATCGTTATTGATTAGATTGCAAAACAATGTTTATATCCAATGTTAGGGAGTGCAGCGAGAAACAATTACCATTATACACCACTGATGGGAGTGCAAATTAGTTCAGCTGCTTTGGAGGGCAGTTCAGGGTCTACTCAAGAAAGACCCTCATGCAGTGCATAAGAAACATGTATATGTATATGTCTAGATCAAAATGGACTAACATGGAGAGCTTTTCAAGACACAGGGTTCAAAAACCCTGAAGGTTACAGAACAATTCATGCCATCTGACACACACATGCATGTGTGCTCACTGAACCAAGAGCATACAGAATACTGATTTTGTGAGAACAGCTATGTCTCTGTTAAGAGAATAAAAGGAAATCTGGATAATGATAGTTACTTCTAGAATGTATTCCTGGTAGAGTATGTCAAAAGGGCTTTAGCTCTATGTAGAATGCTTTACTTTTTATTGATTTTTTATTCTTGTATTATTTGTGAAACTAAATTTTATTTTGAAACAAAATTATAAACAATTTTTACAACCTTAGCTGGAAACTGAAAGTTGCTTTTGGGAAGGCTGGTTTTTTATTCTAGGAGGTACCCTGTCGGTTGTTACTTTTAAATGTAAAGTACTTATCTGCCCATAGTTCTAAATGCCATAAACTCACCCAAATTTAGGCATGTAAGACTGAGATGTTGTGTTCAATTTATTAATAAAAAGGTGACTTTCACCATACACACACACACACACACACACACACGTGTATATAGATGTGTGTGTGTGTGTATATATATATATATGTATGTATCCATGTAAATAGTGTTGAAACATGCTTAAAAGTCTGGATTTAGATAAAACTTTGCCTAGAATTATTGTTTGGGGTTTCTGTGGAGTGTGCATAACCACATCCTAATATTCCCCCAGAGGGCATTAGAATCAAAGTCCAGACCACAGTTGCCGAAGTCTTAACTCATCTCTTCTGTTGAAGTTCTGCATGCAATCGACATATACCAATCAATGAGAAAAATGCATTGCTCCATGTGTGCTGATGGCTTGTCCTATGGGGAACCTGAGCAAACTCAGTCACTGATGAGTGGGTTGTGGCTATTTCAGGTAGGTTAGTCATAGGTGGCCTTTCTGAGGAGAGGACATCAGAACTGAAGAATGAAAAATTGGGGGGGGGGAGAATTCCAAGAAGAAGAAAGAGCATACATACCAAAGACCACAAGTGGAGAAAAGGATTTATCTGATTTCTTAAGCAAAAAAAAAAAGTTATTTTTAAAAAACCGATATGCTGACAATCTATATTTTAATAATCAAATCACGGTATCTTTTCTCAGATGGCACCTCCAAGATGAGTTACTGCAAGCTCTTACTCAGAGGAAGGATTACAGATTCAGATGGTGGTCCTCAGCATTGCTGGACACCTCTCCAGTTAGAAAGGTATTAATGCCTGGAACGTGAGAAGTGCATGCTGACAAGGCAGGTCGCTGACCCCCAAAGACTTACAGCCCAGCCCATCATCAGAAATTTCTCCCTAATCTTGAACTGAAATCTGTATTTCATTGGTTTTAATTTTCTCAGGTGCAGCTTAGAATAAATTTACCATAATAATACAGAAGTGTGTTGTGCTCTACTTCAAAGCTACTAGAACAAATGACCAGTAATAAGCGTGATAATATTTTTAAATGTTCAATTTTGCACTTTTTGAATACCCAAAGACCCCACACTTGAGCCCATGATTATAATAAATATAATGCAGAACACAGAAAAGTATAATGTAAGTGTGGCCAGGCTGAGTGACCTCTCTTGATACTTAAACCTCTGTGTTGTCTTCGTGTTTGAATCGTTACCTGGGAGGATGCTGTTTCTGCCATGAGACGGAGGTTCCCAGTGGGTACCTGTTCTGCACAAGTTGGTAGGTCAGCTCTGTTGGTTCCAACTAAACAGTAACTCCAAGATAGGATGAGAATCATAGCAATATTTCAAAGGATAGACAGAGGAAAGAATGAGAGAGGGTCACTAGATTTTAATACCTTCTTATCTGTAGTTTAGGCCAAAGAATATTCTACTGAATTCTCTGTTTCCTTTTGAATTTCTCCTTAGCAGTTAATCTTTGCTTGCAGTTCATATATCCTAAGCCATTAAGTTAAAATCTTCACTATTGTGGAAAACCAGAGCAGCCCACTGGAGTGAATATTAATTTTGTGAGCTATGGCCAGGCAATGTTACCCTTAAAGTTGAATGAAACAAAGCATATGGCTAAATACAGACCCCAGTCCAGAGACTGGTTGACAAAATTGAGGGAGTCAGGAGAAGAAAAGTTGGTATCAAAATAGCTGGGTAGGCTTTACGTACATTAGGCAATAAGAAAATAGTGGGATACATTGGAAAGGGCACCACTGTGCTGGGAGTTGTACTTGTGAATTGTAGTTACAGCTGTGCCATGAACTGGCTGTGTGTTATTAAGTCACTTGATCTAGTTTTTCACTACAAAATGGTGAAGGGTGGAGAGAGGAGAGGGGAAAAGTGTGTTAAATGAACTGAAGTACTATGGCAGATTGCATTAGGTGCCTCCACAATATCCATTCTCCATTCTTCCTTTTTAACAGAAAGACCCTTGTATTGTTGGAGGTAGTAATGTACCCATCACTGAAAAAAAAAATCTATTTCCCAGTCTCCCTTGTAGCTAAAGGTGGTTATGGGACACAGTTCTAGCCAAAGAAATGTAAGTGAATGCTAGCTATGTGTTCCTGGAAAAGGTCTTCTCCCCTAATGCTGCTTTTTCTTTGTCACTCTGTTTCTTCTTTCTGCTTGGAATGCAAACATGAGCCTGATGCATGAGCAGCCATGTTGTGACTATGAGGCAACCATGAGCAGAAAAATAGAAAGAGCGTAGGACATGATGATGCTGTGGAGCTGCAGTGCCGGCTCTGAGCTGCATACCTCCATGCTTTTTGCTATGGAAGAAAAATAAGCTCTTACTTGGTCAAGCCACTGTAGAAATGTAAGATCCAGCAAAACCTCTCTCTTCCTCTAAGAGTCTATGAATCCTATTCTTTTCAGGACATATGAATCTTTTGGGGTATTCCTTCAGATCTACAAAGTGATTAATACCACTAATAAAAAATTTAAAGCAGTCTTGAAGGAAAAAACTCATTAGCATCCCTCAGTTCTTTCCTCACTGAGATAATTAGTAATTTGGTCAGATTCAGGCATATTCAAGAAAATAAGCAACAGCTTGGGGTCTTAAGTGTCATCTCTTACAGCCTCATAGTTTGTATATACAGAAAAGGTCGTATTTAGCAGAGTTGCTTAGAACAGCATTAACTCCAGAAATCACCACACTTAGACCATATCATTTGATGGAGATTTCACTTGTTCAAACTTATGAAGA